CAAGGTAAGTCAAAGATTTTATTATGAACGCTGACAATGAAAAATACAGTTTCAAAATACCATCCTTTAGAGATGTTTCTAGATATCTTGCCAGAAGCCTTCAGCATATTTGTGGATATGTAAGCTTATCAATGCATATTAAGGAGAAATTTTACATGGGTGTGGAAATCACTGAACTGTATTTTAATAACCCTGTAGCTTAGGCATAGTATATCATTCCGAACAAATGCTTGAATTTATAAGTATGATGGGTTTCCCATATGCAGAATTATTGTGCATGAGGTAATAAGTTAATAGTTTGTCTAATCAGAAGTGTTAAAAACTACTCCAAAGGCTAATATTACTATTCTTAAGTAGAACATTAATATTAGAATGTGTCAGAGAAGATTATATTGGCTCTGACTCAAATGTTGAGTTTTGCAAAATGTCTTGAATTTGAAATGCTACTTTTCAAAGCCCAAATGGTTGTACTGAATGCAAAACACACATTTTACACATAAAACAAAGTTTTCCATCATTTTGGGAGTGTTTTGAATCAAAACAGCAGTTTTGAAATTGAAACAGGACATTTTGAATTCAAGATAGTTCAAATTCAAAATATTTTGCATGCCACTACTTAAAAGGGTGTTATTTTGTATCTTCCTTTGTCAAGAAGTGGTTAGAAAAATTATATTAAAAATTTTTGCTATTAATTATGGTGCCTAGTTGGAGCCTCCAGGCAGAATGTATTTCTGAATGTGAATGGTGGGTTTCATACACTGCTTATGATTCTTGTGGGAGCATTTGGGAAGTATTTCTAGTAACTAAGTGATGGGCTAGATTGAATGTATAGTTTAATTGAATAAACTGTTAATACCAAATAAACATTAACGTGATTGAATTCAAACTTTTTAAGCCAGAAATTATTTCAGTCCAGTTTGGTGGATAAACCATAGTAGATTGGTTATTACAATGCTAATCTGTAAACCAGTTTCCAAATCACATCACACTAAGCTTTGAAACAAAGTGTCCTGAGCCTGTGTTTGTGATAAAACTTAGGGTGAGTTTATGCTAAGGCATAGTGAATGTGGTTTGATTTTGATTTTATTGGACAGATCTAGTGCGATATATTCAATGAACCATGATTAAAACAAACTGTGGTTTAGTAATTGACATCATGCTCGTTACTTTCATTGGTGAAATCTGTTAGAGGAAGAGCAGACAAATATTGAATAAAATGAACACAGGTAGTCCTTGCTTAACAACCCTAATTGGGACTGGCAACTCTTGTTAAGTGAAGCAGTTGTTAAGTAAAACTTGTGACCTCCTGCTGGCTTCCCCATTGACTTTGCTTGTCAGAAGCTGGCTAGGAAGGTCATAAATGGTGATCACATGATTGTGGGATGCTGAGGCCATCGTAAACGCATGACAGTTGCCAAACACCTGAAGTGCAATCATGTGACCTCAGGGACACTGCGGCAGTCATAAGTGTGCAGAACGGTTGTAAGTCAGTCTTTCAGCACTGTTGTAACTTCAAACAGTTGCTAAACGAATGGTTGTTAAGCGAGGACTAGTCATTTACTGTTCATTGTGTATACTTCTGTAGGAAATTTAGTGAATAGTTTTATTAAGAAATATGTTTAAGAAATTCAGTATTCCAAATTAATAAATTACTTCAGGAAAATGATTGGGAAAAGATTGATAAGATTTGAAATTATATCTAAATGAAATCTTTGTCATACTTGTCCAAATTTAATTGTATCTTGTGGGCGGTTGTACACTGTGTTCCTAAGTTGATAATTCTGAGTTGGAGCCCTGGAAAATCAGTGCAGTTCCGTGCACAAAGCAGCAGGTGAGGGATGGCGTAGTCTAAATAGAGCAGTTGCACTTGGGGGGATCAACACAGATCAGTTACCCTACTGATTTCTAGAAATTTGCACAATACAAACTTTAATTTGGCATTGTAGCACTGCTCCCCCAATTTCCAGTTGCTAGATTTTTTTGCCCTTTGATTACAGTATGTATTAACAGAATGGTACTCTTACAGGGGCTTTCTTTACAACAGAGCTGTATTGAAATCAGCCTGTATATAACATGCCTTAAACAGGGAGATAATTGCAAGTTCTCATTATTCTGTATACCTGCTATTGAAAGCTGTTCTAGCAGGTAGAACATACTACAGGAAGAGTGCAGTAAAAATAATCTGGAGTATGAATGCTGGGAGCAGAGTAACTCTTTGGTTTTTGATGGAATTCAGCTGTTTCTAGATGCATTTTAGCAGAATAACAATTAAAATATATTAGAGTTTAAATTAGTTTTTTTATCTATTTAAAATGCCTTCAGACTGCCTTTTAGGATAGAACCCAAACCATCTCAGAAAATAAAAAATATGTATAATAAAAGTACTAAAAGCCTGTTTAACAAATAAAGCAGGCAGAACATCCCAAAAATATTAAAACTTAAAATTTCTTTCAATAATATTGGTAATATATGACCTGATTCATACAGTGCTCTAAAGCAAAATTGGTTTCTGGCTTAAAGTGTTGTAGAAGCCCAACTGTTGTAGTTGGTTTAGTAAATAATGGTTAAAACAAGCTGTAGTATAGAATTTACAAAGCCTATAGGTGGCTTGTGAATCAGTGGCCTGATTTCCACTAATACTTGGATAATAACATTAAACTTTCTCAATAAAAGATCAAAATTATACAAAATTATGTATTGGGATATACAGTGGATAGGGTTTAACTTGAGTATGGATGAACTGAACATTAATTCTAAATTTTTCTCTATTCAAAGACAGCACTAATCCAACCTGCTTTATTAACCATCAGAAAGTCCCTGGAATCATTTTCATTTTGAGTAGGTTTTTAATTGTAGCTTGACTATTCCTGATTTTAATTATGTTAAATTTGAGTATGTGTTTAATGTTGTTCTTGTTACCGTATTGTATTAGTTCTGACCACAGTTGTCTGCCCCAATCCTAGCTCATTCATGAAAAATAAGTCCAGAACTTTTAAAGGAGAGACGCTTCAGAGGAATGTTATTGTATAAACTTTGTTGGTTGTACATCTAATGCACTGCCACAACTTTTAAAGAACGTGGCTCTAATATGCAAATATACTCCTGTATTCAACCATTATATTGTGAGATTGCATCATTATCAGTTACACAATTTGCTGATTTATAGATAGATGTTATTTGCCTTATGATTCCAATTGTTTGAACCAAGAAAACGAACCATATTGTAATGAAGATTTGTTTCATTTTTTTCAGATTCTTTTATGTTTATAAGTATCACTATTGCAGATGGAGTTTGTTAGTTATCTTTATGCCAAAGAGGATGTTCAAATTGCTATAGGGGGCTACAAAGTTGAATAATTAGTTTAAATCTGCTATTTCAGAATTATTAACAAAATATTACCATTGTTAGGCATAACTTAGATCACGGATTATAATAAAAGTAATTTGGCTTTGTAAATCTAGAAGATCACAGGAAAAAGAAAACCTTAATCGTCACTACTTTCAGATAAATTCCTATATGAGAGTAGTAATTTGTCACAAACTATTGGGAAATTATTATTTTTTTGATGAAGTTATTTCTCAAACATGGCAGCACAAAAACTGCATTATTGCTCAGTTTCATCACTTGCTGCATTATTATCATAATGCTTAAGGGGTTCTGGTAGCATTTAGTGGATGTCTTAAACTGTATTATCAAAGATACCTTTTGGGAAAAAAAAGTACAATCACCCTAGTACTTAATGTTCTATCAGTCATATAAACCTCATTATCTAATTAACCTGTGAATAAGAATCTCTGATTCATTAGAATCTAGCATCTTTATAGACTTTATCTATAATAATAGAATGGACACCACTGTCGTCTTGTGGATGCTGGAAAGGTGTGATATGCAAAGGCTATAATAATGTTCTCATTTTCTCAGGACTATATAAAAACAAATTAACCCACAAATAACGCAGTGAAATATTGCTTCTGCAAATAAAGCTATTTAAAAATGACCCTGGCAATTTAAAAAAAAATCTAAATTGTTTAAAGAGTTACCTGGAAGACACAACCAGTTTCAGACACTTTACAGATACATGCATACAGTACAAACACATGGTTAACTTCATCTGCATTGGATGGTGCTGGTTTATAATTGATAATCCTCTTGAATAGTATGTTCCTATTCCTGTTTTTAAAATTGCTGCAAGCAACATATTTTAGCTGGGTTTATATTTCAAGCTAAGTTACACTCTGTTTAAGCATTTTTTTTAATGTATGGTTTACAAATCATATGGCTTCGTGTGAAAGCTAGTTGGAAAGTTGGATCCAAACTGCAGTCAGAAAATTTCTGTTGATGTTAAAGTAAGTAAGTAGAACACTGAATTTCTTGTGTTCTTCTCCCTATAACTAAGAAAGCCAAATTGCATGCTGTTCTGGAGGCCTGGGGGCTTTCAGAGAGCAACATGGCAGATATGATGTGTTGCAGGGGAGACAGTATAGTTGATACCTGCCAAAATAGAAGAGGCCACATGGCTGTGTTATATAAAGTTTCTGCTTTCTTTTCAGGGAATATTTGACTAGTCAAGTGAGCAGTGTTTGGATTCTGAAAAAGTGGCATAAGATAAATTCAGGCTATCTTGAAAAAAGGAATTGTGAAAAAAATCTGT